ATTTCTCCTGAAGGGATGATGATTTTCCTTGTATGTTATTGAGAGATGATGATTTCTCTCAAGGGGATGATGATTTCCCCTACATACCAATAGCTCGACGGCGGTCGGGACATTACAACTTTATCATATCTTGGCTACGTGCAAGGCCGACCCTAAGATTAAACGGGCTAAGCATGTATTTGTGGCCCTTACATTTATCATAAAAAACCGGTCCTCATTTTTTAAAAAAACTTCTTAGTCTAGTAGTTAAAACTCAATATTTTTCTTAAAATAAGTCATGAGTTTAAAGCTCAATGTTATTATTATTTTTATTTTGTTTTAGAAACGTTTTTCTAATAGTAAAACGACCCATTTTTATTTTTAACTTGCGGCCCATTAGAACTTGCGGTCCATTAGAACTCACGGCCGGCCCTGACTACGTATCACTTGATCTTTACCACGCAAGCTCCCATTCCTGCGTGAATTGCTTGAACCTTGTACTGCACATGACTTGCTTTTAGCTGATGTTCCTTCTACTTTCTTGTTAGTATGCACATGTTACCAATTCAATATGGTAGCAGAGCATAATCGAATATGTAAAATTACTTCTGTATATTATCTATAACGGTCATATAACACGTTCCATTGTAAAGAGATCCACCTCTGTGTGTATATAAACAGAGCATCATCATTGATAATGATTGAGGAAAATACCAATTCAATACATGTATGCTTCCTTGAATTGTATTCTTCTCCATCAAAGATCTTTTGTGTTGTTTTTTTTTATCTTTACTTTTCTTGAAACTGAATCTTATAAAAAAGAAGAAAAAAACAGAGATCAGATTTGATTGTTTGTACCTCGGATTCAATCCTTAAACTAATATAAATACAACGGATATGCCATAAAACGCATACAATGAATTCATCAGTGCTTTTTTATCATTTCTTCGCTTCTTTATTTGGTTGGCTACGATGCATGTCGTTGACTATGACCATCTTATCTACTATTTTGTTTTTTAATCGACGATTATACAATGTACAATTTTAGCCTTGACATGCGGGATTACTCCGCACGACTCT